TATTTAAATTCAGTCTTCCTTTACCCCCGGGTAACACGTACGGCCCCGTGAAAGTTTTTTACGGGTAAATTAATATCTCGGGACTACGGAGTCTTGGAGGCTGAAATTTTAGGATAATGACCCACTGCCCACGCTCAACATTGCCCATTCAAATTCTGCCTTCCCGTACTCGCGGGTAAGACGTAGGGCTCCGTGGAAGTTTTTTACAGGTAAATTAATATCTCGGGAACCACTGAGTCTAGGAGGCTGAAATTTTAGAGTAATGACCCCCTTCCCACGCTCAACCTTGCCTGAATTCAGCGTTCCCGCGCTCTTGAATATCACCTACGACTACCTGAAAATTTTGGCGGGTAAGCTACTAACTCGGAAAACATTGAAAGATATTCATCCTCCAAGATTTCGAATTCAGCTTTCATGCGCTGGTGCGTGAAATTTTTAACTGCTTTCCAATGTTTAAACTATTTTTGCATAAAGTACAAAGCAGTGAAAATCATTAACAGGCAATCGTTCGATGGGCGGAATTGCACAAAACGCATGATCGCACCGGCCAGTCTGGTGCGCGTTGCTATTTATTTCCTTGTACCTCCGTAGTTCTGTGCCATTCCCCTCATCCCCTCCCCTCCTCTCCCTCTCTCCTCCCCCCATCAAAACACCGTATCCACTCATCTTTCTTATTATAACTCATTCCATATGTTTTTGGTGCGTCGCAATAAAATCGTTGTTTTTCACCCTTAATGCGTTGGTTTTCTCAAATTTAAATTTGATAAAAAAAAATCAGCCCATCAAGTTTTAAACTGTTAATAAAGGCCGTTATTGGGAACAACAACTGCTGCGTTCAAAAAACGCGTGCACACAGGAAGTCATAGGAAAGACCGGCGCAATTCCAGATGAACAATACTGTCCAAACTATGGTTTTGCACACCGACTCAAACTCACTGGCAATTTTACTTTAAAAATAGTCATTGAATGTGTGGAACTGAAGTATGGGAAGTGTAAATAAATAGCAACGCGCATCAGACTAACCGGTGCGATCATGCGTCTTTTGCAATTCAGCCCATCGAACGATTGTCTATTAATGATTTCCACTGCTCTGTACTTTTGTCTATGCAAAAATAGTTCAAACATTGGAAAATAGTTAAAAATTTCACG